GGGGGGGGGGATACCCGACAGCCCGCCGCGCCGCCGCCGACTGCCGCTGCTGCTGGCGCCTGGCGCTGGCCCGTGTCAGTCGGACAGTAGGTAGGACCGAAGGTAGGTAGGACCGCTTACGACCCACACAGTCCACACCTGTGGACATGCCTCTGACGCCCGACTAAGCACCGCGCTTGTCGATATCGATAGCGCCGCCTCGTTCTTATCGTCTTCGCTGGGCAGCAGAAGTAGCTAGCGGCCGCAGGAGCTCGCGAGCTCGCGCTGACCCCAGAAGTGCGAAGGGTCCGAACGCCCGGGCACAACGTGCAGCTAGACGGTAATTATAAGCCCAACGCCGCCGTCCGCCCGGCTCTCCCGAGTGTCCAAATGTCTTCTGCTGCTCTAATACGCGCCATCGTTGCTTTCTTTCAGGTCGTTTCGAAATGGCGCATGGTCCAAGTCGGTCCGAAACCCCTCTCAAGAATGTCAAATGTTCCGTTTGCCCAAAGGCGTTCCGGTACAATAGTCAGCTAAAGGACCACATGACTATGCACACCGGGGAGCGACCGTATCAGTGCGCCGTGTGTCAAAGGGCATTTGGACACCAAAGGGCATTGAGCCTTCACGTCCGTGCTGTGCACTCGAAAGAAAGGCCTTTGAAGTGTGTATTTTGTGAAAAAGGTTTCCTGCTAAGTGAACACCTTAAGCGGCACCTTCGAATGCACACAGGTGAGAAGCCCTTCAAGTGTTCGCTCTTCAAGTACCATACCGGTGAACGGCCGTTCAAGTGCACGTTCTGCGACAAGGCATTCCGGCGTGAGACCCAGCTCAGGGTCCACATGAGGGTACACACTGACGAGCGGCCCTACCAGTGCACCGAGTGTCAGAAGGCATTCAAGCAGGACAACGCATTGAAACGTCACGTCCGCACAATACACTTAATAGAAAAGTCCTTTAAGTGTGCAGTTTGTGGGAAATGTTTCGCGGCGGCAGGTAACCTTGCGGTGCACCTCCGAACGCACACGGGCGAGAAGCCCTTCAAGTGTTCGTACTGCCCGAAGGCATTCGCCAGTAGCAGCAACAGGAAGGTTCACCTCAGGTTCCACCACACCGGTGAACGGCCCTATCGGTGCACCGTGTGTCAGAAGGCATTTAAAGAGCAAAGAGGATTGAACCTTCACGTCCGTGCTGTACACTTGAAAGAAAAGTCATTTAAGTGTGTATTTTGTGCAAAATGTTTCCTGCTGTCTTCGGCCCTAAAGGTGCACCTCCGAACGCACACGGGTGAGAAGCCCTACAAGTGTTCGTACTGCCCGAAGGCGTTCGCCGACCCCAGCGCCATCAAGGTTCACCTGAGGTACCATACAGGTGAACGCCCGTTCAAGTGCACGTTCTGCGACAAGGCCTTCCCCGTGATGCACGTCCTTACAACTCACATGCGGACGCACACCGGCGAGAAGCCTTACAAGTGCGAATACTGCCCCATGACCTTCGCGGCCCCCTCTTCCCTGGCGCCCCACCGGACAATCCACCTGGAGGAAAAGGGTTTCAAGTGCACCGTGTGCCAAAAGGAATTCAGGTCGGGCGCCGACATGAGCAGACACCTCAAGACCCACACTGGCGAGAAGTCCCACCAGTGCACGGTCTGCAAGAAGCGGTTCAGGAACGGTAGTGCTCTCAAAGCGCACCTGATCAACCAGCATACCGACAGTGGCCCCTACGAGTGCAGCCTCTGCCATAAGTTCTTCCTGTTCCCGAGCTACCTCATCAGCCACCTCGCCCAACACGGGAACACTCCGCCCTTCCGGTGCCCGCTGTGCCACAAACCCCAGGGCGCCAGCCGGGCCCTGTACCACCACCTCAAGGAGCACGTCCCCGTCAAGGCCGAGCAGCTGCCGTACCAAACACCCCGCGGACCGCCGCCTCCGGCCCCGTTCCTCTGCACCGAGTGCGGCAGGAGGTTCCGGAAGTGCGAGCGGCTCCTGCAGCACCTGTGGACCCACATCCGGGCCGATACCACCGCTGCTGTGTGACTGAAACCACCGGCACCAGTCGCAGTAAAATATACTCTTATAATGTAATAATATCCAT